AATTGGGGTACGCTGCCACATTTATTTAGTATTCAGGCTGAATTATATGTGTGGAGAGGATACTTAGTAACACCCTTCTGTGTTACTATGGTGTTTATTTTCCTCAGTGGTTTTAAATACCAATGACGTTCACACACAGGCTGTTGTAATGTGTTAACTATAACAAAATGTTTATTTAACAGGCTTAAACTCTTCTGGTACYAATGCATAATGGTTTCTGTAAATGTATGGCACAAAAGCTGTACAATTCTTAGATGGGTACTGGGTTCAAWTCTAGAGTTAACAAACAGGAGATTATCTCAGGAAATTAATCTCTGATGATAATTCCAAACTAAATTCCCACTTTCTGGAATCTAGCCAAACAACCTTGGTCAAGCCTTCCTCAGGAATAAAACAAACAGACCATAAGCAAGGTCCTGTTCCCACTGTCAGTATTCCTGTCTAATTCCACTAGCCCTTGAATACTACAAAATATTAACCCAATTTTCCTATCTAGTACTATCCAACTGTGAACACCAACTGACTACCTAACTCCCAACTGACAAATCCCAACTGCCAAAACTCAAGCCTCAAATTCAAGTATGTTGTCACCCACATTGCTATTCCAATATACAGTAGGTTCTTTTTGCTTTTTCAAAATATTGATGCACAGATTGYGACYACAGGAAATTATGTTGATCTTTTGCCCTCTTTTCCTTAGGGCAGCACCAGCTCCGCGTGGACTTGGTTGACTTCGATGACCGCAAAACATTTGCTCATTACCAGTCCTTCCAGCTCAAGGGAGAAGATGAGAAATACGGGCTTGTCCTGGGGGCATTCCTGGGTGGTTCTGCAGGTGAGAGACTTCAYTTTCCTGAAATATGATGCTCACTTGTTCTGATACCTCCTATATATTTAACTGTACCTTTYTTAAAATATTAATATCATGCTCTGCATCGCACCTCTTATGCAAAGACATTTTTACTATGAGTTGAGCCACACTCTTTCTGAGGTGGTGTGGTTTCATAAGAACTTAAATTTCGCCAAGGTCTTTTCCTCTCTCTAACATCCTGATCAACTTATATCCRCATACCAAAAAAGGGAAATGCTAAAGACTTCTCAAACTTTCGTACAGTGGCACTTATTTCTCATGCCAGTAAGGTAATGCTCAAGATCCTGCAAGGAAGACTCCAGCAATACATGGATCGAGAGTTGCCAGATGCACAAGCTGGGTTTAGAAAAGGCAGAGGAACGAGAGACCAAATTGCCAATATCCGGCGCTGGATAATGAAGAAAGGCAGGGAGTTTCAGAAAAAACATCTATTTCAGTTTTATTGACTATTCTAAAGCCTTTGACTATGTGGATTATAATACATTGTGGCAAGTTCTTGGTGGTATGGGCATACCAAATCACCTTCCCTCTCTCCTGAGGAATCTGCATAAGGACCAAGGAGCAACAGTCAGAACTGACCACGGAAGAACAGACGGGTTCAAGATTGGGAAAGGCGTACGGCAAGGCTGTATACTCTCACCCAACCTATTTAACTTGTATGCAGAACACATCATGCGATGTGCGGGGCTTGACGAATGCAAGGCTGGGGTGAAAATTGCTGGAAGAAACATTAACAACCTTAGATATGCAGATGATACCACTTAGATGGCCAAAAGCGAGGAGGAGCTGAGGAGCCTTCTAATCGAGGTGAAAGAAGAAAGCGCAAAAGCCGGGTTGCAGCTAAACGTCAAAAAAACCAAGATTATGGCAACAAGAATGATTGACAACTGGAAAATAGAGGGAGAAACCGTGGAGGCCGTGACAGACTTTGTATTTCTAGGGGCAAAGATGACTGCAGATGCAGACTGAGGCCAGGAAATCAGAAGACGCTTACTTCTTGGGAGGAGAGCAATGTCCAGTCTCGATAAAATAGTGAAGAGTAGGGACATCAGACTGGCAACAAAGATCCGCCTAGTCAAAGCCATGGTATTCCCTGTAGTAACCTACGGATGTGAGAGCTGGACCTTAGGGAAGGCTGAGCGAAGGAAGATCGATGCTTTTGAGCTGTGGTGTTGGAGGAAAGTGCTGAGAGTGCCTTCTGCGAGAAGATCCAACCAGTCCATCCTCCAGGAAATAAAGCCCGACTGCTCATTGGTAGGAAAGATACTAGAGACAAAGTTGAAGTACTTTGGCCACATCATGAGGAGACAGGAAAGCCTAGAGAAGACAATTATGCTGGGGAAAGTGGAAGGCAAAAGGAAGAGGGGCCGACCAAGGGCAAGATGGATGGATGGCATCCTTGAAGTGACTGGACTGACCTTGAGGGAGCGGGGGGTGGTAACGGCCGACAGGGAGCTCTGGCGTAGGCTGGTCCATGAGGTCACGAAGAGTCGGAGACGACTGAACGAATGAACAACAACAGGAGGATGATTATTTTTGTAACATCATAGTCTCAGGTGATAAGGCAGGCTTTATGCAGCATTTTCCTATGTTGCACCGTGTCATAGGCTGCTGGAAGGTTCACACAAACTGTTCACATAATGTTACAGATGTCATTTCCTAATTGGTTCTATCACAAAAACTGCAAAAACTTTTTTTGGACATCCTGCCATAGCACATTTTTGCTATAGCTTTTCAATGGCTATCTAGAGTCTCAACCAATTCAACATACCGTATATACTTGAGTATAAGCCGACCCGAATATAAGCCGAAGCACCTAATTTTACCACAAATAACTGGGAAAACATATTGACTCGAGTATAAGCCGAGGGTGGGAAATGCAGCCATTACAGGTAAATTTCAAAATAAAAATAGATTTATTTATTTATTTATTTATTTGCTTTATTTCTATACCACATTTTTCAGCCCTTGACAGGTGACTCAATGCGGTTTACATGGTACAATTATCAAACAGTGTCAGTGCAATTAAAACATAACAATGCAACAAACAGGATCAACAGCATCAATCCACAACAATTAACAATCAACAAGACAGATCAACAAGACAAACATAACATAACGCCTCAGTTGAAATCAGATCCGTTCTCATAATCCTTGTGCCATTCCTATGTTCCATTTACCGTCTTCCTTTGATTGGTTGCACTGCTTAACCAAACGCTTGTTCATAAAACCAGGTCTTAACCATTCTCCGAAACGTCAGCAGCGAAGGTGCCTGTCTGATGTCTGCCGGTAGGGCATTCCATAGCCGAGGGGCCACCACTGAGAAGGCCCTGTCCCTCGTCCCCGCCAGACGCGCTTGTGACGCAGGCGGGACCGAGAGCAGGGCCTCCCCGGACGATCTTAATGTCCTAGTCGGTTCATAGGTGGAGATGCGTTCGGAGAGGTAAGCAGGGCCAGAACCGTTTAGGGCTTTATAGGCTAAAGCCAGCACCTTGAATTGTGCCCGGTAGCGGATTGGCAGCCAGTGGAGCTGGCTCAGCAGAGGAGTGGTATGATACCAATAAAATTACATTAATTGAAGCATCAGGCGGTGAAATTTTTTTTTATATTTACACAAAACTGCAATTTGAGATAAGACTGCCCAGCTCTGATTAAATCATTACATATCTTCAATGTAAATGTACTTACGTATCCTTCCAACAATAATAGAGTAAAATAATAAATATAATAATAATAAAGTAAAATAATGGAAATGCAATAATAACAGTAATAATAGAGTAGAATAATAAATGTAATAATAAAGTAAAATAAGAAATGTAATAACAATCATAAATAGTGTAAAATAATAAATATAATAATAATAATAACAATAATAATAATGGGGTAAAATGCTGTAATTGTAATAATAATAATAAAGAGAGTATAATAATACATGAAATAAAAGTAATACTGATAACAGAGTAAAATAATAAATAACCTTGACTCGAGTATAAGCCGAGAGGAGCTTTTTCAGCCTAAAAAAGAGGTTGAAAAACTAGGCTTATACTCGAGTATATACAGTAGTTTTTGGCAGCCACAAAAACGAAGTTTCTGAAGGAGAACAACTACTTTAAATGTAAGGACTGCATAATTAAATGGGAAACAACACTTTCAAACCAGGAATGGGACATTTTCAAATTTTGTTACATAATGTATTTTATACTGCTTTTCTGCAAGCTCAAAAGTACATGTACATGTATGGGCAAACCTAGGCCCGCGGGCCAAATGCGGCCCCATGTGCTCTTTTCTCAGGCCCACCTCTCACCATTCTATCCTTCCTTCCTTTTCTTTTTCATTCTTCCTTCCCTTCCCCCCTCCCTTCCTTACCTCCCTCTTTCACCCTCCCTCCCTCCCTCCTTCCTTCCCTTCCACCCTTTAATCCTTCCTTCCCTCTTCCCTCCCTCCTTACATCTCTCCCTTTTCCTTCCCTCCCTCCCTCCCTTTTGTCTTTCCGTCCTTCTCTCCCTCCATTCCCTTCCACCCTTCCTTCCTTATCATTTTCCTTCCTCCTTTCCTCCTGGGAGATGTTTAGCTGGGAGAAGAGAGGGAACACAAGAGCCATGTTTCAAGATTTCAAAGAGTGTCCCAATGAGGAGGCTGAGACCAGGGCACAAGGGAGCAATGGGTTCAAATGGCAGGAAAGAGATTCAACTGAAAAGATTAGGAAGAACTTCCTGAGAGTAAGAGCTGTTGGAAAGTGGGCAAGGCTGCCTGGGAGTATGTTGGAGCCTCCTTCTCTGTAGGGTTTTCCACAGAGGCTGTCTATTGCATGGCAGAAGGTTAGACTGGATGGCCCCTGGGGCTCTCTTCCAGCTCTAGGATTCTAGGGTTCTATATCAGGAGTAGGCAATATGGGGTCTCATGTATACACCTTTTCTCTCCCATCCACCATCTCATCATGACCAAGGCCAACCCTTTTGGGATCCAATTTTTTCCCATTTTTCCTTCACTTTCTGCCTCCGAAAGAGAAGAGGAAGAGGAGGAAAGGGCAAGGAGGGGGCTTGGGGAGAACCCCAATGCGGCCCCCATGTTAGAAAGTTTGCCCAGGCCTGCTTTAGCAGAAACACCTCCCTGTAGATTAGTTTCTTACCTTTTATGCCAGGTGGACCCTGTGGCCCCCTTTCTCCTGGGCTTCCTGCAGCACCTGGGAAACCTGGGCAGCCACGCAGAATGGCCAGCTTCTCATTGCCAGAAAGCCCCACGATGTTTACCTCTGTGGAAAGCAAAGATATACAGTGTGAAAATGAATATTTCTTCTAGACCACGATCCACCTCCTTAGAGACGCAGCTCTGATTCATTGCCAGCCATAAACCCATCCTCAGATAGAATACCTTGGGTCCTTGGCATCCACTGGACTTTGGTTCCAAGACCCCTTGTGGATGACAAAATCTGTGGATGCTCAAGTCGCATTATATACAATAGCATCGTAAAATGATGTCCTTTTATAAAAATGGCATTCTATAAGCCCTCCAGAATGATATTCTTGGAAACAGAAGTCTCATATGCAGTTTTGCATATTCACGTGCAGTGCCTGAATGTATTCATTAATCTGTGGATCATATAGAATAGATTAGCTGTATTGTTGTCAAAATTAATGCCTTCCCTAGCACACACCACAAAACAATAAGCCATTCCTCCACAGCCCAACCACCACCACGCAGCCACTAATGCCACATCAATGTGAAACCACAGAGTTCAACATAGCCACAGCACATAAAAGCTATCCTTCAGTCTGTTTGTCATTGTCTTTGTCACTCTGTACCATCTGCCAGATGGCAGTAATAAAAAAAAATGCCGTGTACTACATGAAACGTAGCACATACCTTAACAAATACTAAAAATACTAAAAATTTGGTGATCAGAATGCTCTTTGATTGTAGGTGAACTATAAATTCCAGTTACTACAACTCCCAAATGTAAAGGTCAATTTCCCCCAAAGTCCACCAGTGTTCACATTTGGGCATATTGAGTATTTGTGCCAAGTTTGGTCCAGATCTATTATTCTTTGAGTCCACAGTGCTCTCTGAATGTAGGTGAACTATAACTCCAAACTCAAGGTCAGTGCCCACCAAACTCTTCCAGTATTTTCTGTTGGTCACGGGAGTTCTGTGTGCTATGTTTGGTTCAATCCCATCACTGTTGGAGTTCAGAATGCTTTGATTGTAGGTTCACTATAAATCCCAGCAACTACAGCTCCCAAACTACAAAATCAATCCCCCACAACCCCATCAGTATTCAAATTTGGGTGTACTGGGTATTTATGACAAATTTGGGTGTATTGGGTATTTGTGCCAAATTTGGTCCAGCGAATGAAACTACAACCTGCATATCAGATACGGTATTTACATTACAATTCATAACAGTAGCAAAATGACAGTTATGAAGTAGCAATGAAAATAATGTTATGGTTGGGGGTCAATACAACATGAGGAACTGGATTAAGGGGTCAAGGCATTAGGAAGGTTGAGAAACACTGCTCTACTGTATAGGACAAGCACATAAGATCTGGGGTTTCACTCGTCTTCTGTTTGAGTTGGTAAATTTCTCAGCTTGAAACTCTGAAGCTTCACTGTCTGACACCAAAGGCAATGAAGCTCAGTGATTTAAGCTGTTACGGGTTGGCTCCCAATATTCGGTTATTAGTCACCTACCTGGGCATGTGTTGTGAACATCAGTGGCCTCCATCCAGCTGGGAAAACAGAGCAAGGCTACAAAAACCACCCAAAGGATGTCCCAGCCCATCTTCTCTTCCTCGTCTTTCTTCACAACTCTGCTCTCCCCCTTCCTCTATACTCTTCTTATACGTGCTGGGTACAATGGCCTTGCAGGAGGCTTATCTTTCTTACCATTGTTCTCAGTTAAAAAAAAAAAACCCCAAGATATTACATTTCCTATTTCCTGAAACGGTTGAGGGGCGGGAGGTCAAATATTCAAGTCACCCAATCAGTTCAGTGTTTCCCAATCCTTAGATCAAGGACAGTTTCTTGACTTACTGGAAACAACAAACACTACTCTGTGTCTCTGTTTGAGGAGAACTTATTCCTATTCCTGTCCCTTCTGTTTGCCTAATGAAGTGTTTGCATGTATGTGTTTTTCTCTTTACATAGCACTGGAATCCAAACATTAATGCAATTTGGTTCAGGTGATGGGGAGATATTGGAAATATAGATATTTATGCATATACTAGCGGTCGCCTGCCACGCGTTGCTGTGGCCCAGTCTGGTAATCTGGAAAATAAAGTAACGAGAAAGTGTTGGTTTCTAATATATGTAATTCCTTTATGCTTGTGAGTAAACAGTGTTTCTTGTTGTTTCTTTGTCAGTGTTGATGTGGAGAGTGTCTCGTTTGCCTACTCTGGAATATGCAACATATCATAGTCCTTCTTTAAGGGTCTCTTTCAAATCTATGATACTATATCTGTGTGTGTGAGAGAGAATCATATCTATTTATCTATATTTATGACTGGATGACTCTTTGTCAGGAGGGCTCTGATTACATTTCCTTGCCCTGGTGAAGAGAGTTGGACTAGATGGCCTTAAGTATTTTCTGTTGTCGTGGGGGTTCTGTGTGGGAAGTTTGCCCCAATTCTGTTGTTTGTGGGATTCAGAATGCTCTTTAATTGTAGGTGAACTATAAATCTCAGTAACTACAAATCCCAAATGTCAAGGTCTATTTCCCCCAAGCTCCATCTGTGTTCATATTTAGGCATATGGAATATTTGTGTCAAGTTTGGTCCAGATCCATCATTGTTTGAGTCCACAGTGCTGTCTGGATATAGGTGAGCTACAACTCCCAAACTAAAGGTCAATGCTCACCAAACCCTTCCAGTGTTTTCTGTTGGTCATGGAAGTCCTGTATGCCGTGTTTGATTCAATTCCATCATTGGTGGAGTTCAGAATGCTTTTTGAACTATAAATCCCAGCAACTACAACTCCCAAATGTCAAGGTCTATTTCCCTTAAACTCCATCTGTGTTCATATTTGGGCATATGGAATATTCGTGCCAAGTTTGGTCCAGATCTATCATTGTTTGAGTCCACAGTGCTCTCTGGATGTGGGTGAACTACAATTCCCAAACTCAAAGTCAATGTCCACCAAACCCTTCCAGTTTTTTCTGTTGGTCATGGGAGCCCTGTGTGCTAAGTCTGACCCAATTCCATCATTGGTAGAGTTCAGAATGCTCTTTGATTGTAGGTGAACTATAAGTCCCAGCAACTACAACTCCTAAATGACAAAATCAATTTTTTGAGTGAAGGACATACATTGGGTTGTTAGGTGTCTTGTGTCCAAATTTGGTGTCAATTCGTCCAGTGGTTTTTGAGTTCTGTGAATACCACAAACGACATTTTTATTTATATAGATTGTATGTTCTTTAGAAGCACTGAAATATAAGGAAAATCATGTTCTCGCTGCATTAGGAAGCCAAGCTGACAGGCCAGAAAGAATGCTGAAGGACATCTGTGTTGAAAGGGGGAGGAGAAGGAGGGCATGTTATCTATACAGAGACTGGTACAGCAAAGACCAGGCCATGCCTTCTCACTTCCAAAAGTAAGGAATCTCCCTCCCTCCTGACAGGTCAAAAGTAGGCCTGTTGATGGATCAAAGCTGAATCCTAGTTATCTCTAAACTTGCTGTAAGCTGCTCTTTAGAAAAAATACTGAGACATGCCCCTTGCATGTAGGAAGATATAATGTAATATTCTATGATGCTTAAGGTGATGTAGTAATGATGTTTACATATGTAGAAGCATGTTTTTTGCTTGCCTTCATTTGAAGATGTATAAAGGGAAAGTCAATACCTTTATCCTTACTCTGGTTCGCTTTTGGATGAGATTCCACACCAGAGTCTCAGCTGAAAATAAACGTACTTTTCTGCCTCCAAACAAAGGATTGCTCTTGGTATTATCTCTCCTATCAGCCACAACAATTTAAGATCACGTTATTCAAAATCATAGTCCATGGCCATTCTAAATTGTCATTGCATTATTCCATATTCTCTAGTAGTTTACTAACCAAATGTTTGATCCCACATCCACGTCTTTAGCTTTAAGCAGTGGTTTCTGGATGTGGATGTATGTACTGCAATTCCCATCATCCAGCATCCCACAAACACCACCAGAACATAAATTGGGTTATGGGGGGGGGGGGGTCTGTGTGCCAAGATCCATTGTTGGTGGGATTTGCCGTGGTCTCTGAAAGTGAGAGCCACCTTGGAAATTGCCCACAAACATGCATATAAAAACATTCAAGGGTTTCCGGAAAATAAGGTTACAAGGCACGTAGCTCTTGTGAGGATATTTCGCGAGGGAAGTTGGTATCACTGCCATATAGCGGGAAGTCAGCGGAAGCGAATGAGCAGTGCCAGTCGTCAGTAGCTCATTGACTGGCATTATGGTGAAGGTTAGAGATGGGTGTCCTCATTCAATTTCCATTCAAGTGCGAAGTTTGTGCTAAGGTTAAGTAAAGGTTTTCCCCTGACATTAAGACCAGTCGTGTCCGACTCTGGGGATTGGTGCTCATTTCCATTTCTAAGCCGAAGAGCCGACATTGTCCATAGACACCTCCAAGGTCATGTGGCTGGCATGACTGCATGGAGCGCCGTTACCTTCCTGCCGGAGCGGTACCTATCGATCTACTCACATTTTCATGATTTTGAATTGCTAGGTTAGAAGAAGCTGGGGCTAACAGTGGGTGCTCACACTGCTCCCTGGATTCGAATCTGCGACCTTTCAGTCAGCAAGTTCAGCATTGCACCACGGGGGCTCCTAAATGCTAAAGGCATGAATGCTGCTGCAATTCAACATGTGACAAAAATGGGTACAAAATATATTGTGAGACCATAAAGGAACTTCGCAGACCATCCTAAACAAACATCTTTGGATGTTGACAGCTGGAGTCTGTCTCCTTCCTGACAATGTGTGTCCGCACACTGCTCATGCAGCACAAGAGTTGTTGCCTCATTTGGTTGGGATGTTTGAAGCTACCCCTCTCACAGCCCTGATCTCATACCCAGTTACTATCATCACCTTTCACTAAATTGATGGAATACCTGGGTAGAAAACACTTTTCCGACGACGAAGTGAAAATCCAAGTGACGAACTGGTGTAGCCGATAGAAGCTTTAGAAGGGTTTTCCCTGGGGGAGGGAGGGACCCTGGGACCGCACCAAAGAGGGTCCGCTACTTTGGCGAGCCAGAGAAGTTTGATTTCAGCAGTTTTATTAAGATTAAAATTCAAAATAAAGCTCTCCAAAGTTGAAGAAAAGGCACCGAGGTGGTTTTATTTGCGATTCAGCTGAAAAGGATGCAATGTAGCAATAATTCACCTACAAAGCATACCAGAACAGAGATCAGAGGCATTTTTATAGGAGTCTACAGGTTTGAAAGTTCAAAATTCCCACCTCCCGCCCTCCGCCCGGCTCATGTGATTCCAGCTGGGAGGAGGTGCGGCTGCCCACCCTGTGCCTGAGCCAATCACAGAGATCCCTCGCTGCGCAGGAGCCAATGGGAGGACTCCCCTTGCTTCAGCGCCCTGGCGTATCAGGAGAAGGGAGGTGGGACGAAGCAAAAACAATGAACCGGTGAATGAATTAATGGGTGCGATGCCCAACCTATTGTCCTTGATGGGATTTGTGATGATCCTTGATTATTCTATCCCGGCCTTCCTGCTATCATCAGATAAGCCACAAAGGAGAGGCTTGGGGAATGTCTGGCTTTGAATGAAGTAAACAAAACTTGGGAAGGCTACCTCCTCAGGGACGTCTCGCCCCTTTTGTGAAATGACCAAAAAGTTGGCAAATGGAAATTGTCTAAATGCATGAACCTAACATTTTCCAGGCCGTAGGAGACTGCAGGACTGCCCGGGATGCCTTCCTGGAGTTCCGGGAAGGCCGATTCTGCGTTTCTCCAACCGCGGATACTGAATTTCCCCTTCTGGACCCCAGTATCCGTGAGATGGCCGATCGTCTCCATTTCGATGGCATATTTTTCCTAGCTTAATTCTAACCCTATCTGCTATCTTGCTTTCTGCCTTTCGGACTTCTATGCTTGGGAAATAATCATTTAGTTTTAAGAATATATTTTACAAGAAACAGCTGATTGTCAAAAAGCCGGCTCCGTTGCTCCTGTGCTGCTGCGCTCCGCCATCTCATCGCCTCCACCGGACCCCTGCCCCTGAAGACTTGGTGTGGCTACCCAGCGCTCGGTATCACTGGCTGAAAAAGTCGGCAGGAAACTTCTATGACACAGGCATCAAAAACCCGTCCCACAGATGACAAAATGTATTGAACTGATTGGTGATTATGTGGAAAAATAATGGAATACCTATGCTACAATCCATGCAAGTTTTATTTAAATATATTCATTCTTTGTATTTAAAAAAACTTTTTACCTTACTTTCTGGATAATCCTCACATGGCTGTTAGGAATTGTAGGAGTTGAAGTCCAAAACACCTGGAGGATTGAAGTTTGCCCATGCCTGATATAGATATAGTAAAGATCCAAGCGGATGTAACATGTTTGCCAGCCTTGAATAACCTGAATCAGATTTTTTTCAGTGTTATTTCTTACATTCTGAATTATAAAGCGTCCTTGAAAAATTATTTTTTTAAATTGAAATAGTAATATTTTTGTCGTACAGTATTTGCTTTGATAATCTGGATTATATGCCAGTCCTCGCCCCATCTACACTCATATGAAATTCACACTGTCTGCTTTGAACTGAACTATACGGCAGTGCACTCATATAATCCAGTTCAAAGTAGATAATCTAGATTCAGAAACTGGATTATATGGCAGTGTAGATCCATCCTCTTTCTCTCGTTCCGTTTCCCCTCTTTTCTCTCA